AAGAAGAGTGCTGATCTGGCCTGAAATATGAAGTTTTACTTTAGATATATGTCTCATAAATAGTTTTTAAGAAGTCAGGGAATATGCTTACAAAGGGATTACCAAGGCCCTATAACACATGAGTTTTGGGGCACAGGGAGATCAAGATTTAGAACAAAGTTAGATGTGATCTAGGGCCAAAGTTTAGCACCAGGGGGTGTGTGTGTGTGTGTGTCTGTTTGTGTGTTGGCTGGGACAGGTGGAAGCCTTTGGAGAATGCCTGTAGGCTGCTAAGGAGGTGCTGTGATCTCTAGGCCTTGGTAGGTCTTTACGAAGAGACATGGTTCTGAACGGTTGACATCCGTACAGGTTTTTTAATATTTTTGTTATCCACAGGGGTGACCCTGGACATCATTACAGAAATTTAAAAATTTCACCCCTGGGCACACTGGTTATCCTTCTCATGGTGGCATGGCAAAGCTTGATTTGCAAGAGTTTCTTTTGTACTGTCCCCAATGTATCCCTTTAAAAATAGGAGGTCCTCCAGGGTGAGGAATGAAGGAGAAAATATCCCTTCTAACCTATTTTCTCGTCTTCATTCCAAGGACTCTAGAAAGGCACAGCAGGTTGGTTTTGAAATCTGTGGAATTTTAGTGCTGTCCATTCTCCCAAGTGGATGCATTTAGTGAAGGTAAGAGGAAAGACTGTTTTCTGTATCAAGGGAAGATTCATGTGCAAACCTCAAGCCTCAGATGTTAATTGAGAGGAGTTGGTGTCCATAGTTAAGTAGAACTAGCCCAGGTTCATCTGCCTACAAGGGCAACTGTGTGAGGGAAATATGAGGAAACTGGCATAACAGGTGGGGTGGAATCTTCCTGGGAGAAAGAGTAAAGAGAATTCTAGGTGGAGAGGGGATCGATGTGTTGAGCAAACACATGTCTGTCTTCTTATTTCCTATATGAAATCATGGAAAAGACTTTAGAACAAACAATAAATATGTCACAGTAGGAAACCAAAGAGCACTCCTTTGGCCAGAAATAGAAACTATTTAAACAAAAAGAAAAACAAAACAACAGCGATAAAAAACACCTTAGACTTGGAAAATGACAGAAGTTAAAAAATGGAAAGTTGCCTGGATGTGCTTTTATTGTGGCCTCTCTAATGAACCTGTCCCCACTCTATCTTCGTGTCCTTGCTTGTCCTAAGAAGCATGGTGGCAGCCGTGGCATTCATTGTGCTAAAGTGGTCGTTTTTGGCCCGTGGGCTTGAGATGGCAGTGAAGCGGCATCGTTTGCCTGGGGAAATGCCAGTGGTTTGTTGTCTCACACTATGGAAGTTGAAGATATGGACACAAAAGGAGTGTGTTTAAGAGTGAAAGTTTAATAGGCGAAAGAAAGAAGAGAGAGTTTCCTTGTGCATTGGAAGGGTGTCTGAGCAGGTTTCCGGGTTTGGGGTTAGTTGTGGTTGGTTTTATAGAGCAGCTTCAGGAGGCAGTGTCTGATTTACATAGGGCTGAGAGGATTGGTTGGAGCAGGTGTGCACTTTATGTGATGCATTAAGAGGCTGGCCATCCCACACTAAACTTTAGTATGCAGATGGGGCCTCTACCTGGCCTGTGCCATGTTGCTTGCACATGTGAAGACAAAGAAAAGGGAATAGGAGGCCGGGTGTGGTAGCTCATACCTGTAATCCTAGCACTTACAGAGAACAAGGACAGTGGATCAAGAGAGGTCAGGAGTTCAAGACCAGCCTGGCCAAGATGGTGAACCCTGCCTCTACAAACAAACAAATAAACAAAAATTAGCAGTGCGTGGTGGTGGGCTCTTGTAATCTCAGTTACTCAGGAGGCTGAGGCAGAGAATTGCTTAAACTTGGGAGGCGGAGGTTGAAGTGAGCTGAGAACGTACCACTGCACTCCATCCTGGGCTACAGAGTGAGATTCCAACTGAAACAAAACAAACAAAACAAAACAAACAAACAAACAAAAAAAAAAAAAGGGAAGAGGAAACTTCCATGTTGAGTATGTGTGGCTTCCAGGTATCCCTTTTCTATTTATACGTGCCAACATTTACCTTTGCTTGATTTTTCAGGCTGATTTTTGTTAGAAAAGAAATTATATGGGTGTTGCTTTTTTATTAAAAGAAAAACCATAAGTGAGGACTCCCTTACCCACACTGACTGCTTAATAATTTCTTTTCAGCCCCTGTATCAGCAGTGCTTGCTCCTGATAGGTGATGATCATGAGGGGGGCCAGGAGCCTCTAGACCTAGAGACAAGTGGCCAGCACTCTCCAGATGGAGTGTTTCCCTCCTCATCACCACCTGCTGGTCAGTTTGACAAACAGATGAACAGAAGTTCTCAAATACACAATAAACAGATAACCCCAACATCACCAGAAATATCAAGTTGGGATGGCATTTTTTCAAATTGTCTTTATTTTTAGTCTGCATCATCTGTTGCTTTCTGAGGGAAGTTTTTTGAGTTCTCCCACTGAGACTGTGGATTTGCATTTTTCTTTTTGTATGTCTGTCAGCTTTTGCCATACATATTTTGTAGTTGCGTTGTGTTGTGAGGCAGATTCATGACCTGTGTTGTGGGAGAATTCTGTATTTATCAGATGTTCATCTTACGTTCTATTTTGCCTAGTATTGATGGTATAACTTTACTTTTCAGTTTCACATTCATTTAGTATATCCTTTTCCTTTCTGTGAACCCTTGTGTGTTGTTTATTTGAGATATGCTTTCTTAGGTACTGACAGTGACCCCCAAATTCATATGTTGAAGACTCAACTCCCAATGCCCTTGGAGGTGGGCCTTTGAGAAGTAATTGGGTTTAGATTAAGTTATGAGGGTGGAGCCCCCATGATGGAATTAAGTCTTTCTAAGAAAAGGAAGAGAGTCTGAGCTCTCCTCTGTCTCCATCATGTGAGGACACAAAGAGCTAGCATCCATCAACAAGCTGAGAGAAGGACTCAGAAGGCAACTTACCTCACTAGAGCCTTGTCATATCGCTTCCCAGTTTCCAGAAGAGTGAGAAATCAATTTCTGTTGTGTAAGCCACTCTGTCTATGAAATTTTGTTATGACAGCCAGAGCTGATTAATGCATGCTTCTTGAACTTTGTTTTTAACTCAGTATGAAACTCATATATTTTTATAGGAACATTACTCCATTCTTTTTTAGTGTGTTTATTAATAATTTTGGACTTATTTTTGCCATATTTTAGAACTCCTCTTTCCTCTTTCCCACGCTTACTTGTTGTTTCAATCCAAGTGTATGATAAGGTTTAGGAATCACTATCTTAACAGGACCATGAAGGGCTAGATAAGGGAAGCTGGCTTGCATTCAGGGAAGAGGCAGAGGAGGGAAGCTGCCAACTGGGCTGTGCTAAGATGACCTGAGCCCCAGACCCTGAATGAACATCCTCTTCTGGACACAGGACATGCCAGAGGCATCATTTTGAAATAGGCAAATTTTATTTGCTTTGCGTTCTTTCGTCATCTGTATTAGATTTTGCCTCTTGAGTGCCAAAATATAGCAGTTTTTATATTACCCAAGTTCCTGAGTTTATTTTTTTTTTGTCAGAATTTTCCACCCTTAGAAATCCCAAATGACATGTTTCCTCTCTTTCTCAGACCATGCTTTCATTTCAGTCAATGTAACAAATCAGTCAGGTCTTAGAAGTTTAGAAATCTGATTGGATTGATTCATACTAAGCTGTAACAGATCTACCACAGCCTTCCAAGATGAATTGGAGTTTTCTAAAAGCTCCATGACCTACAGAATTCTTTAGGTGCTGGAATTACACACTTTTAAATCGCATCAAGTATAAACATTCAATTTTGTGGACATTTATTTTTTATGGAGATATGAGGATAGTTGTTGGTTAATACTGGCAGACTTTACTCCAAAAGCCAATTGTATTAAAATTTCTTTATTTTTTTAAATTTTAGACTATCAGAAAGAATAAAAATGCCATTTTTTTTTCCTTTTTGCTATAGCTGCAATATTCACAGTAATCCAAGTTCCAATGTCAGGGTGCGAGAGCAGAGCCAAATGAGGCCATGGTTTTTTCATGAAGTGCATTTTTTTTTTTTTTTTGAAATCAGGGATTCAGACATTATAATATAAGTGTTCAATTAGAAAGTTATTATGATAGTGCATGGCACATGTCCTTTCCATCATCTGGATTTTTCTGATTTTTTTATCTGGCTCACTCTTACTCACTCTTCAGTCTTCACTTTAGTGGTCACTTCTCCCCAGAATGCCCGTGACCCCTTAAGATATTAGTGCTGCAAACACTAAAAGCTGAACTTATAACTGGACTCACAGGCAACACCTTGTCCTGTGCCATGCTTCACTAATGTTGAGGAAATGAGAAAGAGTAGGAGAAACAAGGCAAAACAAATATCATTTCCATAGCAGAGGCCTCAAGGCCAGCCCACTTGATTCTCTGGAGATCCTATTCTGCATAACAATGATGAAAGGTAGCCTAGGAAGGCCATTTGTCTGAGGCTTCACCTTTGACACCTTGCTAGTCACTAAACTAAGAGATGGATTCCATTCTTTAGTGTCGCCATTGCGTCATAAATCCATACATAGCAGTGGTATTTATTTCCAATAAAGTATCAATATAAATTAGGTATATTCTGTTGACAATTTTATTAAAGTTCTTTATTTATCTTCCAGATAGTAGATTCTATCAACCAAGTTTCATAAAGAGTTCTGATTCCCAGAGGTAAGAACTGAGCCTGGCTTTCTGGTGACATGTTTACTGGTAACCCCGTCCTTCCCTACAACGCTTAAGCATATTTAAAGACTATACCCTCCCCTGCCTCCAGCCTGGATTGTAAGCTCCTCAAGAGCACGGCTGCGTCTTTTAACATCAAGGCTCCATGTGCGAAAGAGTTCCTGCCGTATCACAAATGCCCAATCGACATTTGTAAGTGAAGAAAGCTATTCTGTGGTGTCTGCTTTAATATTAAGAGATGGCTTGCCCAAATTGCTAAGCAGCTTCATTGTCTAAAATGGAGCTAGATTCTGTGGGTAGCAGGTCCATTGGTGCCACTCACAGGAGGCCTCAAAGAAACCCGCCGCCTTCACAGAGCTGCGGGAGCGTTCATTTTCTTCCAGCACAGAGATGTAAAATGGAATATTCTTCTGAAGCAGATACTTCTTGTATCGCACCATCACCTGTGCCATTTTGCCTGTCTTTCGGTATTTTTCCACGCTGTAGGCCATTCCTACTTCACAAGAAGGGTCCATGGTTATCCATGCGACTGGGGCCCCCTCTGGTCCCAGCATACAGGCTGCTGGCAGGGCTCCTATACAGCGCTTGATGTAGCGCAGGCTCCTCTCATTCTTCCCTCGCTCCCAGTTGTCATTTACCAACCCGGAATAAGACACATCCAGTTGGCCATACTTAAAGTTGGGAATTTCCCTGTAGAAAACATACAGAAAGACAAAGGTTTGATCCCACTCCTGTAATTTCTGGGTGCCATCCCAATCTAGGGATCCCAGGACCTCTTTTTCTTTAAAGACCCACCAGTGCAAAGTTGCATATTTTGACCTTTGACAATCTTTATTCATCCCTAGGAATGAATTCATCCTCTCTTCATTCCAAAACTGATGTATGTGAATTACAAAAATGTACAAGGACTAGCAATTATAAATGATTAGCATATGTTTTTGTACCTTTCAAAGTCATCATCTGGGTGGCCTGTCTCAGCCCAGCTTCGAAACTTGCTTTCATTGGAGGCATTGAGCTTCAGAATATCTTCCGTAACCAAGAGGACTGCTGTCGAATGCTCTACCTTCACTGACTTTGAAAATGCAGCTGCTCTTATCCCCTCACCTAAACTTTCTTGAAGACCTGGGAAGAAAGGCAAGAAAGCAATATTGTCAGACATGGAGTTCTCTACTTACACTGCTCCCACCTGATTAATATCTCAGTGCTTAGTCGTTCTCAAACTTGAGTTTACACCACAATCAGATGGAGTCCTTGTCACACCACAGATTGCTCTACCTCTCCCAGCTCCCAGAGTTTCTATGAATTTACATTTCTAATGAGCTCTCAGGTGATACTAATGGCATTAGTTGAAGACACAATTTGAGAAGCACTGCTGCTTTCCCATTTCTTCCAGACTCGTTACCTTGGATTTGGAGTCTCTGTTTCCAGTTGATGATCTCACAATTTTTCAAAACTTCTTGTGATTTTTGAGGGTCTTTGGAGAATATACGATATACATTTGTGTATGAATCCATGTCATCAGTCATCTCCTGTATAGGATGGTGAAAGGTCAGATCATTCCCTTGAACTATTTCTTCACCTCTCACTGATTGCAATTATCAGAAAAATGAAAATTCAAAAGAAAATTTTGACACTGGCCCATGATGGCTGCAGTTGGGCACACGGATAATAAAACCTAGACCTATAAGCTACTGCTGACCTCTTACCTGTGTAACTGGAGTTTGTTAAATACTTAACACTGAGAGGTAATAGTTATAAACCTGTTTATTAGATACAGAACAAAGACAGGATGAAATCAGTCACCCTCCATCAGGCTGTAAGATGCCTCACCTTTCTCTCTACCCACTCAACTGCACCCTTAACTTATTTTACATATAGCATCACCAAATACCCAGCAAATTCAGAAGATTGCAACAATTGCTTCTCTCCCTGCTTCTGTCACCCCCTGGGCCACACGTATCCATCCTTCTGTTATATATATAACCTCCTGTGAGACACATTCTGGGTTGTAGTGAGTCTTTGTTGCTAGGATTAAGTCCTTAAACTTGGATCAGAATAAATGTAACCATGATTTCTCTAAGTTTTAGTGCCTACTGTTTCACTGGACACCTAGAATCTATAGTGTCCTAGAATCTACAGTGTCCAGGGCTTGGGCAAGATATTTTAGTGAATGTAAGCATTAACGAGACATTGCCTTTCCCCAAGGCTACACGATATCAGCCTATTCGAAGAGTGACACTGGCTTTACAGCCAGAAGCCCACAAAGTAGAGTGAAGTAACTGAATTTTTGTTAGCACTCTGGGTAATTTATATGGTGTTAGACTCCTGGGTTTGAAAGAAAGAGACTTGTAATCCCTTTCTGGCAAGCCACAAACTTGATGTGAAGATGAGTATCTATTTCTCACTGGAGATATAAACAATAAATGTGAGAGTTTTAGCCGTGAGTATATTAATATTATGTTGGAAATTGTATAGTTAAAGAGGAAAAGAGAAAATAGTGTAACTAATTTTAGAAACCTTCAAGAATTTGAGAATGCTTTTATAAATGTAAATTCCTGAATATGGCCAAAACTAAAACCTCAGCAAATTTAAAAGAGTAGATGTTTTAAAAGACCCAATTTTAAAAGAATGACCAAAAACAGCCCAGTAAATATTCAAGGCATTATAAAAAGAATATCAAAGTAAACTAGAAAAAAACAAGTGGAACAATTTATAAAAATGAAAGCTATATATAATGAAATGGAGAACAAGTCATAGTTCAAAGGATATATAAAGCCAAAAGTTTCTTTTTTAAATGGCAAAAAGAGAGATAGAAGATGAGAGAGATAAATTTCTTGTAAGGCTTATAAAGGAGATACGAGAAAAAGAGAAAAAAGCGAAAAAAAAAAAAAGAGTATGAGACATGAGAACAGAAACAGAGAAAAGAACAAAAGAATTATAATAGAAGATTATATGCTACTCCAGGACAACATATTTACTGATAAAAAAAAAATGGATGTTATCCCTCAAAGATAAACTATCAAAATGACCTTCAAAAAAAACAGAAAACCTCAACAAACTAATAGGAAAATCAGAAATTATATTAAACATCTACCATTTAAAAAGTGGATAAGGATTATGGTCTGCAGCTCCATCCATGTTGCTACAAAGGACATGTTTTTTTCTCTTTTATCGCTGTGTAATATTCCATAGGAATATATGTGCCAGTTTTCTTTATCCAATCTACCATTGATGGGCACCTGGGTTGATTCCATGTCTTTGCTATTGTGAACAGCGCAGCAATGAACATGCAAATGCATGTCATTTTGGTGGAATGATTCATTTTCTTTTTGGTATTTACCTAGTAATGGAATTGCTGGGTCAAATGGTAACTTTGTTTTAAGTTCTCGAAGAAATTTCCAGACTATTTTCCACAGTACAATAATCCTAAGAAAATTAATGCTGGAACAGAAAACCAAATATCACATTTTCTCACCTATAACTGGGAGCTAAGTATTGAGCACACATGGACACACATATGGGAATAATAGTAGACACTGTGGACCACTAGAAGGTGGAAGGAAAGGTGCTGGGTTAGAAAACTACCTGTTAGGTACTATGCTCACTACCAGCATGATGGTATCTCTTTGTACTCCAAGACCCAATATTCGCAATATTCCCATGTAACAAATCTGCACGTGTACCCCCTATATTGGAAAGGGAAGATGAAATTAAAAAATAAAAAGTAGCCAAAATCAGATTATTTTATGTTTAAATTCTACATAAGTGAAAAACAAACACATAATTTTAATAGTAGATTTTGGTAACAGATGAAAAGATCCTAATGCCAAATCTGGTAAAGAAATAACAAAAAGAGAGCTATTGTCCATATTTCCTTATGAATACAGATGCAAAAATTCTATTTTAGAGTATTATTATTTTGTTATTGATTTTTATTTGCATTCTTGATTTCCAAATATATCACACTATTTTTTAATCCCCTGTTTGTTTACTAATAAAATATTCAGTACTATATCAAAAGAATGTGAACATGAACAGTTTGTTTTAGAAAGGCCAGTATGGCTTTGACTAGAAGATCTTTCAGTGTAATAAATTAAAGGAAGAAAAATTATATGACTATATAAATTGCCAAAAAGAAAAGACAAAAATGAAAGAACATAAAATGTACCCTCCATTCTAAATATATGTTCTATGAAAGTAGGAAGAACAGGAAAATGCTCTAAACCTGTAAAGACAGAATGAAATGCAATTCCAAATGTTAGTTGTTACAGCTATTTCATTAAAATCAGGAATGAGACAAGGAGAGAACTATTATTATTGTTAGTTGGTACTGTTTTCTTAAATTGTACATTATGCAATAAGGCAAGAATCTAAAAACCCATACAAATATTGGCAATGAAGGAGCAAATTACCTTGTTTGTAGATTATAGTATTATGCATTTAGAAAATCCAAGAGACTTTGACATAAAACAAAATCAAATAACACCCTACACAAACAAACAGGAGATTAAAGAATAGTGTGACATATTTGGAAATCAAGAATGCAAATAAAAATCAATAACAAAATAATAATGCTCTAAAATAGAAAAGGAAAAATAATTCAATAGTCTTAACAGATAGTATAAAATACTGAAGGATAATCTTAATGGAAAATCAGGTAGTTGACCACAGGAAAACACTTACATTTTACTAGATGACCTAGAACAGAAGCTGAAAAAAGTGAGAAAGAGACCATATATCTAGATGAAAAGATTTATCACAAAAAATATTAATCCCTCCACAATTGCCTAAAAAAACTCCTCCAATACCAATCACAATTGCAATAGTTAGTTGGCATAGGTGGTGGGGAACTGGAAAAATCAGTTTATGTTCATATAGCTCTTAAGTTTATAAGAAATAAGAAAGTAAGAAAAAGATTGGTGAGGGGTGATTTGTTTGATTAGATATTAAAATTTACCACAAAAACAATGAAACAGCATGAGAAAAGACTAGAATCAAACACAGAAATAGATACAAAAATATATAGACACGTTATATGACAAAATAGACATTTATGTTTTAGTAATGGAATGACTTATTTAATAAATAGTACTAACATAATTTGCAAGCCATAAGGAAGACAAATATAAAAGAATGTTAATTCATGCTATTCAAAAATATATTCCAAATAGAATGAAGATCAAAATATCAAAAGTAAAAATTAACTTCCTGTAAGACAAAATAAGAAAACACTTGTATGATCTTGGAGTTGGAAAAAATCTTCCTAATTATTAATAAAATAAATCAAACCTCAGAAGTCATAGTGAAAAATATATTTGATTACATGAAAATTAAAAATTTCTTCATATCAAAATCTCCATCAATAAAATAGACAATAATTCTAAATTGGGCAATAAACTTGTAGCATATACCTTGTGTTAGTATCCCTGGTATCCAAAACACAGAATTTTAAGAGTGACACAAAACTGTGTGTAAACATGGTCAAACAATATAAACAGCTCAGAAGTAAACCCCAAATGACTGATAAATATATGAAAATATAATATGTTGAGAAGGAGGTTCCAAGATGGCCGAATAGGAACAACTCCAGTCTACAGCTCCCAGCATGAGTGATGCAGAAGATGGCTGATTTCTGCATTTCCAACTGAGGTACGGGGCTCATATCACTGGGGCTTGTCAGACAATGGGTGCAGCCCACAGAGCAGGGAGGGGCATTGCCTCACCCAGGAAGTGCAAGAGATTGGGGAATTCCCTTTCCTGGCCAGGGGAAGCCATGACAGACAGTACCTGGAAAATTGGGACACTCCCACCCTAATACTGTGCTTTTCCAATGGTCTTAGCAAATGGCACACCAGGAGATTGTATCCCACGCCTGGCTCGAAGGGTCCCATGCCCACGAGCCTTGCTCACTGCTAGCACAGCAGTCTGAGATTGAACTGCAAGGTGGCAGCAAGGCTAGGGGAGGGGCGTCTGCCATTGCTGAGGCTTGAGGAGGTAAACAAAGCAGTCAGGAAGTTTGAACTGGGTGGAGCCCACCGCAGCTCAAGGAGGCCTGCCTGCCTCTGTAGACTCCAACTCTGGGGGCAGGGCATAGCTGAAGAAAAGACAGCAGAAACTTCTGCAGACTTAAATGTCCCTGTCTGACAGCTTTGAAGAGAGTAGTGGTTCTCGAAGCAGAGAACTGGAGATCTGAGAATAGACAGACTGCCTCCTCAAGTGGGTCCTTGACTCCCAGGTAGCCTAACTGGGAGACACCTCCCAGTAGGGGCCAACTGACACCTCATATATCTGGGTGCCCCTCTGTGACGAAGCTTCCAGAGGAAGGATCAAGCAGCAACAACATTTGCCATTCTACAATATTTGCTGTTCTGCAGCCTCTGCTGGTGATACCCAGGCAAACAGTGTCTGGAGTGGACCTCCAACAAACTCCAACAGACCTGCAGCTGAGGGTCCTGTAAGAAGGAAAACTAACAAACAGAAAGAACATCCACACCAAAACCCCATCTGTAAGTCATCATCATCAAAGACC